GACATTGACAAATCATAAGTAGTCTACATAGCTGAAATGTGTTGCAGTAAGAATTAAAGTGTATAATTTAAAATTTTCAGGTGTGGTAGAACTCCAAACTGTGCAGAATGCTACACAAAATGTGTAACATAACAAGGTCTGCATTCAGTTGTGTTTTAGCCTTCAACACTTTGATTTCTTCACTGCTTTCAACTGATCAGTGTGATATGAATTCTAACCAGTTGTAGCTTTTCTTTGGACATCTCATCTATCAAACTGTTAAAAGATCAATCACAAAGTTTGTGTTTTTGAAATTGATGATCATTTATTTTGTGTGCACACCATTTTCAGTCTTTGAAAATTCTTAATATGGAACTTTTTTTTCACAGATCTGTGGGAACCCTGTTTCTTGTAATGTATTAAAAGGTTGCTGATAAAATTTAAAAACTAATGAAAGGAATAGATATTAGTGATATAACTTATAATGGAACTTCCATCTCCACCTCTAAAGGAATGAAACAAGGAAGTTATGAGTACCAAGGCCAATTGGCAACAGTATATTATTACTCTCTTTTACATTGACCAAGTCCTTGATATTACAAGTCTGTCCAGTACTATAATTAAAATTTTAGTTCCAACCAAAATCCGAAATGATTATTTTTTGATGGCTTTTGTTGGATGACGTTGCACAAGTGAGATCAACATTAGTCTTTTAGATGGGATTTTGATATAATACCACTTTCAAGTGACAAGGTATGTAGTATTTATTCCAGGAATATTTGCTATAACAGAGGCTTATAAACAAATTCAGACTGTAAGTCACCCATTAGAAGAGCAAATACAAGAGTACCATTCCAACTGTTCAAAAAGTCTTCAGTTCCAATAAATGTATTTTTATTCATTTCAATTTCATTATAAACCAGTTTAAAGCTTTGAAATAAGCATTTGTTTGAAGGATTGACCAATGATTCATTTCATGAAAAAAATCTTTTTGTTTTGTAGTCATTAATGTCCCCTTTTTTCTTTCATTTGATAAGCCAAAAGTTGCATAATTTCCCAGAATTACATATATCTATGATAAAAGGTATTCATATTACAAAGAAAAAACTGTTTTGTTGAATTCCTCCTCCAAATATTACTAAAGTTAGTCATGTACTTCCCAATGAATACTTTTTATGGCAAGATCAGGATGGTATACTTTTGATCTGTTTTTGTACCTACTGTCAAACTGCTTCTGGTTGCTCTTACATGGTGAAAATGAGGTTTTTATTGATGTACTACTGAAAAAAAATGTTATGCATTGAAGGCAGTTGCAAGGCATTAACTGTTGAAATTAAACTTACACGAGCAGTCATATTTGCTATCTGTCTTAATTACTTCATAACACCATTTCTACCTATACTTAAACTAGTTGATTCTAATAATTATTGATTCTATTGGTATTATCTTTTATTTGAAAAGTACCTATGTGACATTACATGTATAATGATTTTTCACTAGTTCTGTATTAAGTGGCATTAAGAAGTTCTTGCCTTAATTCACTTCCAGTCTGACCAAACATCAGATTTTAAGGGCTTTTTAGTTGAATCAAGAATTTTCCATACCTCATATTTAAATCAATTAGGAAAGAAGTTTAGTTTTCTTTAACTTGAAAGCAAAATAACAAAAGGGGCTTGATGTTCCCTCCTCACTTTTGTATGTGTGTACGTAATACTGGCACATCTGCAACATACTGATGTTGTACAATTATTAGTACATATATTAATAATTGACATTTTTAACATGCTATGCTTGTGTGCATGTAATTTTGTTATGACTTAAGACAAGTATGTGATAAACAGTATTTTGACTAAACTTTTTAAAAACTTATTAAAAAGCTGTGGGCACAATAGTGAAACTGATGTGGATGACACTGCATGTGAAATATGAATTTTATTTTCTATAGTTTACTGTATTATGTGATACAAATTGTATATGCTATCCTTTCTTAAAACTTATGATAAAAGTTGCTGAGAACAATATTCAACTGTTTATTATTAATACTCAAATATTTTATATCTTATTTTTTGGTGCTTACTAGTAAATAATTTTCATGTCTAAAGCATTAGCCCTTCCTTTGGGGATCTCTCTGATCTTATTAAACATTTTCATTTGTGCATGATTTTTATTTCTTATTATATATGCTGAAAATTAAGTAAAATATATGCACCCATTTGTGAAAAACATTAACAAAAAAAAAACTTAAGAGGATTGTCAATTGTAAATGTTTGTATTGGTACAAATCTTACATATTTCAATGTATACTTAACAGACATTGAATAAATGAAGTGTTTTGAACTCATAACTTTATGTAAAATAATATTAACTTCCAAAAGAGCTGTCCAGGCATAATCTCTGGTGTTGATTTTAATAAAAAAAAAAAAAAAGTTTGTAAGCTCTTGTCATGTAAAATAAGTTTAATTGGTTTTGTTGATCTCGCTTCTCTGGGCACAAATTTTCAAGTGCTCAATGTAAAACCTTTACGCAAACAAGTTAAAGATTTTATTTTATTTTTAATTTGTGTAAAGTGTGTAATATAATAAATCTTACAAATATTAATACCAAATAGCAAAATAATTATGAAAATGAAACTAGAAATGTTGAATGAAAAATGTGATTTAATTCCAAGCTTGAAACTGAAACTATTGGAGATGGGGTTAAAAAAAAAAAAAAAATCTGACTTATACTAGCCATATGCTTTGACTTTAAGCAGTTGCTTCATGTCTGCAATTCTCCATTTTCAAGTTATTGAACATTTGCCAAACAGGTTGCTAATAATATCACCATCTGTAATACTATATTAACTATAAAAAGTTCTGCTATATTTATCCTTTTTAACTTGGATTATTAGGGAAAGATTTTTCAAAACTATTTTAAGCAATTTGTACACTTGATAAACTTAATATTTATTTTATAAGTGTTATGAATCACACTTTTTTTTTTTTTTTTCTTTTTTTTTTAGTAAAAATGTATGATTTTTTCATTAAAGTTAACTAAAAGTAAAATCTACTGGTTGTCAGTGATAGCTAAAGTGTTATGGTATTAAAAAGGATGCTATGATTTTAAAATTGAATATAAACAGTTATGGCCTTTTTATTTTATTTATTTGTTTTTACATCTCCACCTCATGACAATCTGAAAAAACAGAACCAGCAAGGGAAAAAATCTTGCTTCAAACTGTTTTAGAGATGAAATAATTAAGTTGTTTCTTTCTCTTAACAACCCCCTCCCCACTCCCACACCACTTTCAAAAATTTGGTAATCCCATTTCTTTAAGTGCACAGGAATTAACAAAATATTTGGCAATCATATTAAAACAAAACTATTTCTAACAACATATTAAGGTTATAAATGTTCACCAAAAAGACCAAGTATATTATATATTTCTGCAAAGTCATTATGATGCTTGTATGTGTGTAAATACACACAGAAGATTAATTACTATTAAAATAACTTACATCAGTCAGGAATTGTGGTCATGTTGTTTTTGCTAAGTCTGATACAATACTATAGTCACTCCTTTTGAAGCAGGCTAATTAAGCTGTTTTCCAATGTACAAAATAATATTGGAATAATTGTAACACAAAATATACTAAGCCAACTACCAAACAAAAACATAAAAAATTTAAACATCTAATCTCTATAGGTAGCACACAGCATTCTCAATCAGTTCCCTTGTAATTAATATTGTATCTTTTCATTTTCTACTCACTGTTCCATTTTCCCAGGAACACTTAGTTCAATAAGGATATTAAACTTTCTCAGGCCATATTAAAATGTCTACTTGCAGCACTTTAACCTAAATCATTGTGTGCTACTCAATCCTGCTAGAACATAGCAACAACTACCAGCTGTTACTCTGAGATTAATTAGGCCACACCTTTGAGTGGACTCATTAGCATTGCTGTTGTCTCAAAAAAAAAAAAAAAAATGAATTTCTATTAGATGACCAAAGAACTTTAATCATTTTATACTATTGAATTGATTCTCAGCTCTCCAATCTTCAGTTGTAAAGGTAAAGTCTCTCACATTAACAGGACATGAAAACAGATTAGGCATAAGTTAGATAATGAAAGGTAAATCTGGGAATTGCCCATTTGCCAAATCTCAACCCATTTTCTTACTTAACAGCTTTAGTACAAGTCTAAATGTTTTGTGTCTGCAACTAGCTTTTTTCTGTTACAGTTATTTTATTGGAACAAGACTATGACTTGATATGCAAAGTTTTGCTTCATTTGTCCTGCTTCCATTATTTTTGCCAACTTAACCTATCTTCTGCCTTCCTGTACTCCATTTTCTTGCAGTCTCCATGTTTCTTATTTCAAGAAACCTAGCCAAGGATGCATTATGGCAGGGAATTAGATATTAAATGCACATTTTTAAATTGAACTTTCTAAAGTTATTGAAGCTATGAGAAAAATTAGAGTAAGTATTTCATCATTTGAACTTGTAAGGAGTTATAACAAAGCAGCAGGACATACTTTTTAGAATTTCATCATATTTAACAGAAAGCTTTCTGTTAAATATCTGAAAAACTAGATCACTTAAAATTCACTCAAAACAATATCTATTGTTTTGATTGAATTTTAAGTGATCTAGTTATTTACTCAAGTAAATCTTGTACAAGCCTACTGTATTAAAGCACTTGCAAGAAATTTACTATATTAATGAATTAGTTTGCAGAACAAATTTGCTAACCCTTAGACTAATTGTTTCATATGTAGTTTTTTACAAAGTTTAGTGGTTTACTCATTGATTACTGGTCACATTTTGACAAAAAATTAGGTCTTACTGCAACTTATGAATTTCCAAATTTTACTAGTCTTGTCGGTTGATGGAATGGCAGCTTATTTATGTATAGTATGTGTTAACCTTTCTTGTAAAAGTTTTTGTTGTCAATGCAAGTTATGAAAATTTCATAGCAATATTAACTCATTTCTACTAAAGTTTATTCTTATATTTATTTATTTTATTTTTTTCAGTTACAAAGATTTCAAAATATTGTTTCATCATGTGAAAAAGCATTGAAATTAGTATCTGATCAGATTGCTGAATCGTAAGTACTGTGTTTTATCATAAAAAAAACTGATATTCATTATTTACCAACATAGCACTACTGAAAATGAATGCCATGAAGATAAATTCAATTCTTTAAGCATATTCCTTTATTCTTATTATATATTACATAGGGTAGAAATTGCACCACATCTTTTAATTAAGCATTATTTTGCTCTCTAACCTATAGATCTGACAGTTCATATCCATTGACAGATAGATAATGTATTACTATGTGCACTTGAAACAGTAGCTAATATAATCTCTGTACAATTAGTTATAAAATTAGCTATTGTAATCTGGATAAATACCAAATAGCTTTTTGATTTTCTTTTCCTAACAAAGTAATTCTTTGATCTGCATTGGCTGAAAGTATCAATTATGAAGTTTAATGAATAAGATATCTCCAATCTTAGAAAACAAATTTTTTGACTGGATAGATTAATGAAACCAATACTGAAGTAAATGCTTTTCTCTTCAAAAATTACAAATTGATTTTTCAACAGTCAGTTTCAAACAAACTTTTTTTTTTTTTTTTTTCTTCATTCAAAAAAAAAAAAAAACAAATTTCTTGGTTACTTTTATTCAGATGTGCACAACTTCAACTTAGTCATGAAACATGATGGCTTTACAATACTTTTTCAACTTTGATAGCAATCAGTAGTTTGATAATGTAAAATTGGTGTTGCACAGAAGTTGTTCAATGACTGAATTTTAGGTTTCTCACCATTTTTACTGGTTTTTGGTTAATGCAATCATATGTAGTGATACAAAATAAAATTCTTTCAGGCTTTGTTCTACAAATACATTGTGCTCAAAGATTTTGCAATATCTAACCAAATATGGCAGAAATCTAATGCAGTTCACTCTGTGATTACTGCTTTTATGTTCTACTTGAACAGAGTTCTCAACTAATAAATAGGACACTATTACTCAATACCATCATAAAGTTAACTAAGATTATTCATACTTATTACTATGTATTACCAAATAGATATTAAAATCAGTTTCTGTCTTGACTATTAGCAGTGCTATATGGTGCCAGACCTTATTAATCAACTGGCATTACAGCTCTGCACCATCACATTTTTTCTGACTTTAAGAAAGTAATTGTAATTTTTTGAAGGCTATGTGTTTTGGCAAAATCTTGTTTTGCTGCATTCTGATGCAAGTTTATTTTTTCTTTTGAAGTTCACTTTGTAAATTATGATATATATTTATTTATTTTTTTATTTTTATTTTTTTTGCAATAGTTTACAAAAGATTTATGTAAATTGTACCTGCCAATAGTATAAAATAACAGATTGATAATTTTTTTTTTATATTATAGGCTGGATATTAGTAGATCAATTTTGAATTGGGATGCTTTTTTCAGCATATTTAGTGTTTTAACTCCCTTTAACCAATCTGGCAAATTAGTTTCATAATGATTACTAAAGTATCACAGTTGAATTTTTTCTTTGAGATATTTCTTTGACATTTTTATGAAAAAAAAACTGAATTATCTAATTTTTAAAATTTTTAAAATCTTAAATATGTATGTTCAAAATTTTCTGCAAATGAGTTATTAAAAATAATTTGTAATTGAAGCACTGGCTCAATTTAGGTTTGGTCTTAAGCAAAATAGGCATGACAAACAGCTTGTGATAGAAAGATAAAAGATGTTTACTAATCTGTTCAACTTATGTAAGGGAATATTAAATTTAAACAAGGAGAAATTAATGCTTTGACAGATAAATGAAAATGTTTGAACTAGGAAAGATTTATTAAAATCTTATTCTATTTTGGAGTTGCTGAAGAGGATGTAAAAATTTAAAACAAAGATATCATAATCTAAATAATGCAAACAGACTGTAGTGAAGTTGAACCAGGTGCTATTTGACAAATGTATTTTTTAGTAAATGTTTAAATTTGATTTTGAGTTGTTTGATTTCTTCAACAGGGATGCTCCTAAAAAGAAGAATGATGCTAAAAATGCTGTTGGAACAGGGGAAAATGATGGTGAGAACAAAGAAGTGTAAGTGTTATGTGTTAACTGTCAACATTTTTTTCTTCTTTTCCCTTTATACTCATCTTTCTCTGATAAATGAATGTTTGTCATCAATGTTGCCTTTCACATATGTGCAGATGAAATTAATACTGGTGATACCTTCTAAGAGCCTTTCTTAGATGACTGTTGTATTAAGTAAACTTATAGAAACAATTTGAATGGCATACTTTTGATTTTACTGGGGTATATCTTAATTTCTGTGCTTACATGACAGACCTGGGTGGTATAGTTTACCAGAAAATGAGCATTCAAAATGGCTGGAAATTTTCTGGAAATCTGAAAATCTCAGATCATTTAATTCTTACACTGTCAGCTGGTAATTTCATTTCAATGCAGCTTATGCATATTCAACATTTTGAGATGTACTGTTGAAGCCTTCCAGAATATGGGTCACTTCAATACATTCTCAACCAAGTTTGAATCATTGGCACTAAAGTATCGTCTAGACTTTGCTCATTAAATCATCATTCCAAGCAAAACAATACATATTTGCTGTGGATATCAGTTACACAATCTGTAAGTTTACTCACGGGAGACTTTCTGTTCATGCAAGTGCAATAAGGTGTCCTCTGAACTGTTGTTTAGTTATATTAAGGCTGTGTAATTTGACTGGATAATATCTAGGCAAACCTTGGACTTATTGACAGTGGGTCCAGATTATGCTGGTGACAGATCAACTTGTTTTTGATTAGCATAGTAATATGTTTGCCTTTTTATTTTACCTTTTTATTTTCTTAGAAAAACATCAACTACTTAAATATTGAATTAGAATAGTGTTACAAAATAATATACATTTAATTACCTTATTTTATTTATTTTTTATCTGTTTCTGTCTAGACCAAAGAAAGAAGAAACAGTTCCACGTGCTTTAAAGGGTGTTATGAGAGTTGGTGTACTGGCAAAGGGTTTATTGCTGCAGGGAGATACAAATGTTCAGCTGGTGGTGTTGTGTTCAGACAAACCAACTAAAACACTACTTAAAAAAGTGCACACTCTCCTTCCCAAGCAGTTAACTGTGAGTAAAATCTTTTTCATTTTTCTTTTATAAAAATGTTGCAATGTTTCTGGCTGTGTAATGCATATATTTCTTTTATGCCTAACAAGATAACATGGGAAGAAAATGTTTGTCCTAAAATGAATTTTTAAAAACTGATATTTAAGTTTTAATAATAGTTTATTACTTAGTTATACTTTGATTTTAGTTTGATCAGCATTTAAAAAGAAAATCCTTTCCTTTAATATTTAAAATGCTTGTTTTTTAAAGCAGGTTAAGATTTTAAGTTTTTTAATTTTGTTACATGTTAAAGGATAGAAAATGCTTGTTCTTTATAACAAAGGTTTTGTATTTCAGTATTCTAAAGTAATTTTCTTAGACTGTTTCATTACTGTAAAAAAAATATCAGTGCTGATACTTTATGGAATGAATAGATTTTATTAATTTTTACAGTTACTGGTATAGATTTTGTTTTTTAAGGTACTTCATACTAGTTCTGTAATCTATATGTATAAATTGAATATATTTTTCCATTTGTCAATGCTATAAATATTGATTAAATGGTTAATTTTTAAGTGAATACCTGTAAAATTATATAAATGATTACAGCTTTTTATTTATATTGAACATTTGTTATAGTTTGACTGGAGCTAATATTTTGCAGAAAGCACATTTTAAGTTTACTCATTTTGGAGAGAAAAAAATATTGCATGTCTGTGCAAACATACTTATTCACTATATATATATATATATATATATATATATATATATATATATATATATAATTCTGAAGTAATGAAAAATCTTGAATTGAAAATATAAAAAAAATTCAATCAATTCCTTAGAAATTGCTTTAGTTTACATTTTGGATAAGAAATCAAGCAAAATGGTCTTTTAAGATCTGAACAAGGTGATGTGAATTCCTTAAAAAGGTAAATAGAATCTTGTTGGGCTGTAACACTCTCCATGACTGAACAGTCTAAAACACACTGGATCAGATGCTGGTTTTACCTATAAAGGGAAATGCAGGTTTGAACCCTGACAGAGAACACTCGATCGTACAGGCTGGTAGATGAAATAGTCTTAAAAAAAAAGTCGCATCTACCCAAAAAAAGGTCTCCACTAAAAATAATCTTTTAAAATAGTAAAATATTTATTTTAAATTGTAATCTTTTGCCTATTGTATTTTCTATAAAATATTTGAATTTATATTTTTCTAATATCTGATATCCATTCTAATGTAATAATTCTGTTGATATAGATCATTTTATTTTAAATCCTGCAGTTAGAAAAATTCAAATTTTTGAGATTTGATAGGAGATTCAAGAAAAAAAGTTTTTTTGTTTTTTTTCCCCCAAAAATAGGTTAGAAACATTAACTAGAAAAATTCTCATGTCTTTGCTAGGTTTGTGTGAAGGTACATTTGATGGAAATTGCTTCAGATATAAGCTAGAACAGCAAATAAAAAAGATTCCAACTTCATTGGCATCTCTTCTGTCAAATTAAGTCATTAAGTCCACATATTTCCCCTTAAAATCTAATATTCTTAATTGATTGAGTTTTTTGGCTTGTGTAGGATTTATAAATTAAAAAAAGAAAAACAAAAAACTTACAATAAAGATCTGGAAAAGCCCTGATTGCATGTTTTATTTTTTTATTTTATTTTTTTTTTCCTGTGATGTGTAAGTCATGAAAAAGTTGGGTTATTCTGAAGCATTTAGATTAGGTCCTTAAGTTCTGCATGAACTTGAAGATATTTAGAGGATAATAGCAACTGCTGTCAACTGTTTTTGTTTTTTCTATATATTTTCTTAAATCTTAAAATATTTTTAATGCTTTCAGTACCAAATACTAACACTTGAATATGATACACTGGGACAGCTCTTTCTAATTAACAAGAGATTTTTATAAAGAAAAGAAACCTTAATTTTTAATGGCATTCATGAGTTTTTTGACTAATATTTTCATTTTTGTATAGTTTTGTTCAAGAAACAAAGAAAATTTTGATATATTTTTAAAAAAAAAATGTGTGTGTGACTTAAAAAAAAAAAAAATGATTGTTTGCTGACTTGGTTGAATTTTTTTTTTTTTTTAATGACTGAAGAATGTATTAATTGAAATGTGATAGTGATGGTAAAGATTAATTTATATAAATTAAATTATTCTTACTGCCACTTGAATTGCACTCACATTTTTTGTTAGTACTTAGATAACAAAATAAGGAAATTGCTACATTTGTTTATATTACAATGTTTGTACACAAACTTTGTGTACATAAAAAAAAATAAAATGAGATATTGTTCCAATAAACATGTGAATGCTTTGATAATTCAACATTACTGAACTGCTGTTCTTGAGAATCTTTTATTTGTTGATTCATTTATTTTCTTTCCTTTGACTTTTCTTAGTTAATCATTGTTACCCAAACACATTTACTTTGCAGGTATTATTTTTATGAATTATATATATATATATATATATATATATATATATATGAATTCTAAAGCACTTTATTTTTAATTTGGTTTATTTTAGTATTAGAATGAAAGTTAAATTACATATGTATTCACAACATTTTTCTGTCAAAACATCTTAAATTTTAACTTTTATTATTCCTTTCAAGATTTTGAGATGCACCCTGAAAATTAACCCCTTCACTTGAAATGGGAGGGGAAACTGAATAGTAATTTTTGACTAAAGAAGAGGTTTGATATTGACCCCTCTTTTTTTACCATTCATAATTTTTGAGGAAATTTTGTAGAAAATCTGTAAATCTTGAGCTCTTTTAATCTGAAACTTGAAGGGGGATCTTTTTTATGTGACTTGAGCGAGCAGTAGGCAAGGATCTTGTGCCACAATGTGTCACGCCACAATGATTTTAATTTTTTTTTTTTTTTTTTTTTCTTCTCATTTCATTTTTTTTTTTTTTATTTCTTTTTTTTTTTTTTTTTTGGCTGGCCGCCTCCTCCTCCTCGTTGTTTTTAACCAGCAGCAACAGCCTCTGTAAATCTGAGTGATATGTTCCATTTCAGAGTGTGACGGAGGAGAAATATGAACTAAAGCTGTGTATCAACGAGGCATCAATCATAGTGTCCAGTGTGGAAAAGGACCCCAAGATTTCCTGCACCATCACGATCACCTCTCCCGTGATTAGGGAACCACCGCCTGTTAAACCAGAACCAGGTAATAATTGATCATATGGCTCTAATGTGGGGCCAGTCTCTTGGTGGCATTCTTTTACTTTATGAATATTTATTTGTATTTTTTTCTTGTGATTTCAAAATATTATCGAATCTAATAAAAACTAAAATGATCAAACCCAACTTTAGTTAGTTAAAGGATTATGGGATCTCTCCTTTATTTTAAGGCCTAATTAACAGATGTTTAATTTTGCAAAACTAATTTCAGAAGCTTAACTGAATAGTGGGGCATTAAATTCATCCATTGAGAAAAGCTTCAAGTAGGAAAAATGACTATTTACTAGTGCAAAAAGATACAATTTTGTATTTTTCTACTGTGATGTCTCATATACTCTGGTAAATATGGTAATTTACTTATATACTGTTTATATATGGTTATTAGATTGTACCATTTATTTCTTTCCCTTTTTTTCTCTTTGCCTTTGAAGTTGATTTTCTCTCCTCTACCAGGTCTGTTAAAAACTGCAAACTTAACCTGTTATGCTTGCTAAATTCTATGGCATAAAATTTTAAGCAGATTTTAGAATTATTTATTTTTATTTTTTATTTTTTTAGTTTGTAAATTTCGAATATAAATAACTTGAATACAAATCTATTTAGTTTCATGCAAAGATAATATTTTTCTGAGATCACATGTCAAAAATACAAATCATTGTTAATAAATACTATTGAAATTCACTTGTCTGCTCCCCATGAGCTGACAGTACATCCTGCATTGGTTTATCAATCAGTGTGTACTCTTGTTGAATTCTTTGTTGATCAGGATATTTCTAAAGTCAAAGAATCTTGCCTAAGATCTTGTTTCACAGTGGAGTCAAATGATCTGTACCAGGTGCACATCTTCCACCCATCAGGAACTACTTTGGGGACATAATGGAGTGTTCTTTTCAGAAACTTCCCTTTTTGGCTTGTGTAGGATGTACTCACACACATTTAACATACATACATACATACACACACACACACACACACATATATATATATATATATATATATATATATATATATATATATATATGGTATTTTTCCTGGCCCTTCTATTTTGATGTAGTGTACACAATGTTCTCTCCTATTAAAATGTATGCTGGCTTGTTTTCAGTGTACAGTTAGTAACTTCTAACAATCCTCTAGGTTAGTGTACTAATTTTTTTAAAACACTGGTATAATCTAATATATGTACATAGCTTGAAAAACAACACAATTCTTTAAATTTCTCATTAATTTTGATAATTTTTCGTGCTTATTTTTTCCCCTTTTTAATGATTTAAAATCTTACCACAAATTGCAAATTAACCTTTTCCATCCAAGCAAAATATTCTGATATGGCTAATAAAAGGAACATTTTCAATGTGAAAAACTTAGTGTTAATTATATTATTCATGACAAAACTAAGAATAAAGTATAAAAATATTAAAGTATTACAGATAGTCATTTAAAACTTCATTTTTGAACATGATTTTCTTTACTATCCAATTATATAACGATAATTGGCGTGTAATTAATTTAGTTTCATAGAAAATAGATTTTTAACTGCAAATGTAAATTTATTATGAAATGTTATAAATTCAAGGGAAGTAATCTAACATTTGCAAACCTTAAAATAGATATCTGAATAGATTTTAGAATTATAAATTTTTTTTTTTTAATTCTAAAACTAGCACTATAATGAAATTGTTGGTAAATTTGGTAATTTGTAGATATTATCTTAAATATCCTTGTTATATACAGTTATTATAGAATTACATTACAACAGCTACAAAGCATATTTCCAGAAAAGAAATGAAAACATGCCCAAAATTTTATGCTCAATAAAATATTTTAATATTAAAAATCTCAAATTAAATCTCATTAAAATATTTTATTGAGCATAAAATTTTGGGCATGTTTTCATTTCTTTTCTGGAAATATGCTTTGTAGCTGTTGTAATGTAATTCTATAGTAACTGTATATTCATTAACATTTACAAACTTTTTTTTTTTTTTTTAGATTCAAACATTACAGTAAGCTGTTACATTCTTTCATACAAAATTTTCCAAATGAAAATAAAATTTTTCAGTCTCATCTCTAAAAATACATAAATGGTAAAAATCTTTGTACATACGGAAAGAAAAGTTAAATCAGTGTGTGTATATATATATATATATATATATATATATATATATATACACACAAAAAAAACAAACAAAAATTCTATTATGCAATTATGCTGCTTTAATGTTGTCAGTGTGTATATATATATATATATATATATATATATATATATATATATATATTTTTGAAATTTTATAAGACTGTTTAATATTAACTTTGATGATTGCTTTGCTCTCATAACAGATTACAGTGTCTTTAATAATTTATGTCCTAAACTCAATTTGTGACAAAATCCTTTAATTAGTATGAAACAATTCATGGCATTTTCATATACACTTACACCAAGCAATTTCCTTGAGGATAAAATAATACATCTACTTAAAATATATATGTGGTGGGGGGTACTACTATTTTGATTTTTCAATGCTTACTTGACTAAATTAGTATACTAGCTGTCACTATGGAAACAAGAGCTTTTTAAAAATATATTTTAAAAAAAGGAGAAAACATTGGTTGCAAAGAGGTGTTGTAATTTAGAACTTGTACAATTATAAATATACTGTGGCTGGCAATTTTTGAAGATTTTTAAGAAAACAAGTGAATGTAATATTGCTGTATTAGTCTAGTTCGATTAATCCCTAATTGTGCACTAGATATTGCTAGATGGAATCTCGCTCTTGGAATGAATGTCTCTAAAGGGTTTTGTATGGAGATGATGGCCAATCTACAGTTCAAATAAAAACGTTTTGTTACACTCACTCTAAAGACTTTAAAAAAAAGAAAGTAAAGGTTTTTCCATAGCAATATAAAAATTAGTATCAGGGTTATGTGTATTCTAAAATTAAAAAAATAGTATCTGAGCAAATTTTTTGACATATGCATCAGAAACTAATTGTTTTTTTTTTTTTTTTTTTTTTTAACTGTCCCAAGTTGGTCCTTAATTGTTTTTTGTTTTTTTTTTAATTACATATGGTAATAAGTTTTTCTTGACATGCTACCATTTATATTTAATAGCAAATTTAAAACTGACAACCTAATTACATAAGTATTGTCATCAAAGTGATTATATTAATTCTATGAAACTCTGTAGGCACAAGATGAAAAGGTGAATGAACATTTAACTATATATATATATATATATATATATATATATATATATATATATAAAACTTGTACACAGTGGTGACTTACCAGTGTGCTCAGTTTCACCTGTGTATGTAACATCCAAATTCTTAGAGGCCAGAAGATCTGCAGGTCAAACTGCATGAGCCACACTTTATATTTAACAAGATCTTAGACTGTTATGTTTTGAGTACTTTAATAATTTTTTATTTCTCTCACTCAGACACACACACACACACAATCCAGTTGATTATTAAGATTATATATTTCAGGAATTGTTTACACATAATTTTGTGAATCAGAAATAACTCCTTCATAGCTGTGTAAAAGATCAGTTTAATTTTTTTTTTTTTTTTTTTTTTTTTTCATTTAATTAATGTTTCTCACTTCATCTTTGACCCTGATGAAATGTTTTTTTTTTTATCCAGATTTACTTAGATATTTTCTCCATTTTACTATATTTAAAGCATATGTTAGTTTGTGCATAATTAGTTTTTTTGTTTTTCATGCATTATTATAAATGCAGTAAGTTGCATTATTTTAATTTTGCATTTTTTATTTGTTACTACCCACAAAGCTTTTTTTTTATTTTTTTTTTTATTAAACTCTTAATAAATATCACTTATTTTTCATAATTTTTTTTAGCTTAGCTTATTTAAGTTTTTTGTAAGACAATCTATTTCCATCAATGCAATTTAACCATGAATAGATTTCTCACTTTATATTAATTGTATAAGCTATTAATATAATGTGAGAAATTCAACTAGTTTTTTTTGTTTTTTGTTTTTTTCTGATGCAGATGGCTATTCAATTTTCAGTGTTCTTGAAAGGTTGTCCATTACTTTTTTGAGAGATTATTACAAAAAATCCTTGGAGAAGACTTTCAAGAGCATTCCAACTGAAAACATACACGAGTTTATTTATTTTTCAATTATTACTTAATTTTATTTTTTTTTATGCATGACTTGTAAAGTGATTGAATAGTAATTTGACTGGTTGTTTTATAGATCAGCTACAAGATACATTGTTGAGTATATTATTTTCTGTGTACTTTTGAAAAGAAATTGATATCTACATCAGTTTCTCTGCAGATTTTCATACTGTCCATTCTTTTGTTTATCTGTTTTTTTTTTTTTTTTTTTTTTTTTTTTTTTTGTGAACTTATACATTTTAGTTGAACTAGTTTAAAATAAACTTTTAGTCATGTATAGATGCTGATGTAGATACCTAATTGCCAGGCTGTACACAGTTATGACTGTTGCATGGCACATTTTCTCTTCAATATGCTCATGTTTATTGACTGTACAATTTATATATATAATTCATTTTGTTTCCTTCATTTTTTTTTTTATTTTGTTTTTTTTTTTGCTTTTGCCTGTGGGAATCTTGTTTAGTTTTCTAATTATTTAGAGTTAAGTGTTGTACTGTACCCCCTACCTATCCCACCTAAGTAATATTCTCTAAAATTCATTATTTTATTTTAATAACTATATGTAAAAATATATATATATATATATATATATATATTTTTAGTAGATTATAATGAACTTGGTATTGGAACAGTTGTGGCTCATAGAAAAAAACAATTTTTAAATATTCAAAATTTAAAAGGTATTTTTTGCTTTTGTTGCTAAAATGAGCCTACACAGTTGGTTTTACAGTCATTTATAATCTTAATAGAAAATATATATATATTTCAGCGATTAATATAGTATAGAATTCAGTAACATCAAAATTTGATATTGTGTAAACATAATATCAAATTTTCATGTTACTGAATTATGTTTCTTGGGGAAAAATTAAAAACTAGCTTTTAGAGGAGAAAGTTTACATCAGATGAATTATTCTTTTATTTGGTTGTGTGACGTTTTTTTCTTTTTAATGTAACTTGTCATACCACTTTCTGACATATACAGTCCTGACATATGAAATTTACTGATTTTTTGCATCTCAGTTGAACAGTTGAATTTTATTATAAGATGTGAAGAACTTTTTCAGACCAGATCTCGGCACACTATTTTTTCTGTATTTTTTTTATTTTATGGTTTAATTCATACAATTAACAAATACATTTAAATCTGAGGTTTTCGGTAAAATGTTTTTCTCTGACTTTAGCAAGATTATATTTTAAGGATATTAAAGATTAAATTTGCAAACTGTTTGATTAATGGCAGCATATCTTAAATAGTGTTTAATAAGTATTCGACATATATATGCTCCTTCTTACTGCATAGTATTTCAGTTCATTTATGTATATGTTCAAATAATCTTTTAATGATATTTGTTCTGCATAAAAGATTTGAGATTAATTTTAAAGAAATGTTTTCAGCTAAATTTGTTTTTCAGCAACGAGGTCGTAAGTAAATTTTGAACTCTCCTTTATTTCTATATCAACTTATATTTTTGTGAGTATTGACCCCTGCCTTTATTATTATGAAAACTTTTTAACTCGTCACTTGCCAATGAAGCTGGAAGAGGTGATGCAGCAGGATGTAACAATGAATTAGTAATAGTTGCAGTACAGCACAAGGAAATTTTTGTGGTGGTTTAGATTTGAAAAAGTTACAGTAAATTAAATCTCTTACAAAAGTGGTTTTAAATATCTGTTGTAGTTATATTCGTTTACACATGCTAGAATAAAAATGGCCTAAAAGTTTATTTTATTTTTTCTCCCAGTGCAAAAAAAAAAGGAAAAAGACAATGCTCTTAAAATATACTTCCATTCCCCTGGATAAAGGTGTATTAACATGATTGACCAATATTGAATAAGCTGTTGAATATTTGTTTTTCAGGGAATAAAGAAGCCAGATTCTTTGTTCATCCCCTCTCCCCTGCTCATTTCCTCAGTTTTTTGCTTCAAGTTATGAAAAAACCTAAAAAGCTTTAGGATGTTTACTAATAGATTGCTTTGTATATTTGAACTGCTAATATATGTTTTTTTTTTCTTTTCTTTTCTTTTTTCCCTCTACCCCCTTATATTTCACTTCTATCCAGGTGGTAAAAAGCCCAAAGAGCCTGCTGACCTTCTTAATAAACAGAAATGCCTTGAAGCATTGGCTGTACTAAGACATGCAAAATGGTTTCAGGTGAGTCAGCATTATTTTTTTTATCTACTTTAGAAATTCACTATATATATATATATATATATGTGCTAATGCCTGCCTCCTTGACATTGTTAGTATTATGTTTGTTTACAGTAGTATAGGCTCAACATTCTTGTCAACAACTTATAATTTTGTCTTTTTAGTATCAGTCTAGCAAAATGATGTCTAACATGAAAAAAAACAAATGCACTTATGACTTTCTGAATCCTTACACAGGACAAACAGTGGATGCAAAGTACAATTAAACAACAATTTCATAAGTGTCAACAGGAAACAGCAATGTGTATGATGAGCCTTGTTTGGAGGTGGCCATGCACACCTGTCAACCTGCAAAATAAAAAGCATCTTCATCAGTTTATAAATGATAGTGGTGGATATATGGGAGGATAGTGTATTCCAGCTGAAAAGTTGGCCTATCCAATGACATTATTATTATTGGCATCTGTTAGAGGTTGAGTAAAAATGAATTAAATGATTTGTGGCATTACTTTCAAATCTTGTGTGTATGTATGTATGTGTGTGTGTTTTCTTACTAGAAACATTATTTTTAGTGAGTACACGTTTGAATTGACATTCTTGTTATTTTAAACAGTGAAATTAATGTGAACTCGTCTAGAAATCAAGAAGTCCTTACTACTGAAAAATATGCCTCCCAGCAAGAATCTAACCTGTATTCCCTTTTATCATATTTTTTGCTAGAAAGGATTTCTCAATTTCTATGCCAGTTGTTTAAAATAACAGGGTTGTCAGCTCAAACATGGGTACCTACTAAAAATAATGTTTATAGTAATAATAATGTTGAGCTAAAAAAAAAAAATTCTAAAAAATATTTCTGATGCTATGTCATCAGTGTTACTTGGGCCTGAAAATCACTCTTTGAGAAAATGATGCAAACCAATTTTAATGTGCTAATTTTTACTCACAGACCCCTCCAATCATCATCATCATGTAGCTAAACCAACAGAAGTATTTCCTTTTGCCCTTATTGGGCTGAAAAGTTTGGGTTCTGCAAACACTTTCCTCACTTTCTAGCCACATTAATTTTTATTTCTTTTGAACACTCAGTAAAATTTAAGCCAACATTTTAAATTATGAACCCTTGATGATTTTAGTTGGTGAGTACATATGTATTCAACAGTTACCATCATTATAGCACCCTAAGATAGCCGAGGCGATATAAATGCCTATCTCACTGAACAGACCAGTGCTGACTACTTTAAGAAACTGTTGGTCAGACGCAAACCACATACACATATATATATATATATATATATATATATATATATATATATATATAATGTTTTGGGGAACCTCGAGGTGGTGTAGTGGTTAGCAAGCTTGTTAACTGGGGTACTTGTTGATTGCCATAAAATCCTTTAAAATTTTTGGAGCAATGGTTCCTCCCCATCACTTTTTTTCCCCTATTTGAGGTACTTTTACATTATTCATCTTAGACATTATTGCCATTAGTTATATATCATTTTGAGACCCCCCAAAAAAAAAAAAAAACTGTAATTGTTGTATATTCTAAGTTTTAAGATTGTTGTTGTTTTTTTTTTTTTTTTTTTTTTTTTTTTTTTTTTTTTTTTTTTTCTAACTTTATTTACTTTCAGGCTAGAGCTACTGGCTTAACATCATGTGTTGTGGTGCTACGAATTCTCAGAGAACTCTGCCAGAGAAACAATGTGTGGGCACCTCTGAATGAATGGGTTAGTAAAAAAAAAAAAAAAGATTTAATGAAATAATTATAATATTCTAAATACCTTAATTACAGATGTTTCTGTAAATAGTTTTGAATATGGTTGATTTTATTTTATTTTTGTTGCAAACTTTGATACGACTGTTAGGACTTGATGTATTCTTTCACAAAATTTTTTATTGCTCCACGTATTCTGGAGGGCCCTATTTCTACCTAATGTCAAAGTAAATTGAATTTTAAATTCATTTTCTTTTAGTTCCCTATTTTGGTTGTAAGTGATAGACTGGAATTTTGACCTAAGACCACTTCTATTGGATTGCTCAGAAACAGTTTAAGTGTAAAAACGTTTTGCTTTCAACATAATCAGATAACATTTTTTTTACATTCTCTGCCATTTTTCAATCAACTTGGTGATTGTTTTCTTGGAACTTATCTTTCAGCAAATAACTGCTCTATGTACTTCAATGCTGTCTTTAAGTTAACAGCTTTCTTTATGAAGATAGTTCTGTAAAGAGTGAAATAAATAGTTTGCCAAAGGGCAATATTTTGATGAATTAAACTGGTGCAAGAGATTTTTCAATACTTGCATACCTTAAGTATCATATAACCTTGGTTATTCTCAGGTAATGTTTTTGTTTGTTATCAACTTCAAATGATGCACCCAGCAATACTTCCAGCACAATAATTTGAAAATTTCTTCAGTTATTTGACCATTTTAAAGTACTTTCTCCTTCAGTTGCACAAATATTTTTGATGATTATTACCTTACTTATGCTGAAAATATTGCATATTTTATTCCATCTCCAATATTAGAATGAAATGCCAATTATGAAAAACTTCTAAATAATGACAGCCCATTATTTGATATTAATCAATTTTCGGTTAGATGTAATATTTGAAAGTTAAGTTTATTGATTTTTAAATTATATCTTGAAGGCCTACAAATCAAAATAACTTTAATTTAGCATCATGTATTCAACTTTGGTTTTGAAAAAGTCTGTAGATATTTTAAATTGATACTATAATTTGCTCAATAATTTCCTAAATATTTTCACATTTTTAATTTGATTAGTTCAGGTGTTAACTGTAATTTTGTAAATTTGTATCTAGAAATTCTTGTGTGTAAACAATGTAATGTTCCTACTTGGAGACTTAGATATTTAACTGATTTGCATTTTATATTTTTGAAGGCAATGGAATTACTTGTGGAGAAATGTATAAGCAGTGTTGGCTTCAATCTTGGACCTGGTGATGCTCTTAGGAGAGTTGTCGAGTGTCTTGCTTCTGGAATATTATTACCTGGTATGTAGTTACTTTTATTCTTACATGATTCTACTTCATTGATTATCTTTTTCTGTATGTAATTTACAGCTTTTGTAATAAAAAAAAAATGCATATTTTTCTAAATACTTGATCATTTTGACTAAAATCTTTGTTTATACATGGACATTGCATACCACTGATCCAGATTTTTTATGATTTATTTTGATACTGTAATCCTCTCGAACATAATTTAAGATTAATTAATCCACTGTAAGTAAAAAAAAATTTATATTAGCAATGTAATATTTCTGATTTTTTTCTTTCTATCTTTCTAATGAGTTCTTTGAAGAAACATTGTAGTCTTATGGATGCCAACACAGGAGAAAGGAATGTAATGAAATTTTAAGAGAAAAGGGAAAAAGTCTTAAAAAATTGTATTGCTTGGCACTATTTTCTCACACTTCCTACTAAATACTTAATGTTCCTTTTTTGTCTTATTCATTCAGATGGTCCTGGTTTGTATGATCCATGTGAAAAAGAAACCACAGATGTATTAAACACATTGACATTACAAGATAAAGAAAACATAACTGCATCAGCCCAGGTGAGTGTGTACAAGTAATTAGGGAAGTGTGTGATTTGATAAAGAAAATTAATTTTTGTTATAGTAATGTAGTTTGTTTTTCAAGATGAGAACTCTTACATTAAATTATTTTTATCTAACCTTGGAGAATGAGTGTCTGTCTTCCTCTAAATGTTTATTTTGTCTCTTATGCATAATTTACTAGCAAAAAATATTCAACCTTCATATTTCATCTAAATTTATGGATTTCATCTGTATTTCTGTACTTATAAAAGAACTAACAGTTGAAAATGTTTACTTTCCTCCATTTTAAATAATTTAATCTTGGTAGTAAGTCATTGTTTGAAGTTAAAACTGTTTATGGTTTAATGATATATATATATATATATATATATATATATATATATATATATATATATATATATATATATATTCTAATTTTTATTCAATTGCAGCACACATTGAGATTGATTGCTTTTCGTCAAATTCACCAAGTGCTCAACATGGAACAACTACCAATGCCCCGTTTCCGACGGAAAAACTTCAAGCCTCGTAAACGTAAGCGTGCTGGTGATGGAGATGCGGTTGCAGATGAAGGTGAGTTCACTTAAATCTCCACATATGCACGCACATTCTTATACTAAACATTTTATTTTACTATTTGGAATTCAAATCAGAAGCTCATTTTGTCTATCTAGATTACATCAGAAATAACTTTGGAATGATATGCCTTTTTTATCTGGAGACTATAGTAGCTTCTTTATTTTGTTTACTTGCAGTTAAAGTTTGGAGTAAATAAAACATTTTTATTTTCCTGTTAGAATTTATAATTTTTGGTAACTTGTATATAGGTAAACTGTTGTAATTTAAACAGCTAACTGTATCTCAGAATGAGTTTTTCATAAAATAATTTACGAAATTTGATTTATCAATAAAATGCCATACTAGTTTTTGCTTAGAAATTGTATATAATATAATTTCATGCTTACTGCAAAAATGTTTCGTTCAAAAAAAAAAATATATATATATATATATATATATATATACACACACACACACACTAGTATATTAATTTTCTATGAAATTGCCTTTTCTTATTGAAAATTCATGCAAATAGATTCTAACTTGGGACAATTATTCATTGACTAAAAATATTGTAAAGCATAAACTGATATTGGTTTTGTCTGTTTAGAGTGGGGAGAAGATTTCTTTGCTAATAGATAATATATTATTCTGAAAAAACCTTATCTGAAGAATAATAAATTTTAGATAAATTAAACTTTCTTTTTCTTTTCTTTTTAATAGTTATCGATATTAATTCTTAACTGCCTTATTTACCTTGGTTTCTAAATGAAACTTCAAATTGTTGCTTTCAAAGAATTTTTTTCCTTTTGAAAATTTCTATTTCTTAAAATTACATTTATATTTTGTCTGATTTTAAAATATACTCCATTCTATAATTAACAAACTAATTCTAGCATTATTGTGGTATCAAGTCTAAATTAATTCTGTGGGCACATGATATTGTCAAATGAACAGCTAAAAGAACAGTTTTTGTTTCTTCTCAATCAAAAAGTACCTGGTAAAAATCAATATGCACAATATATATCTCATTAGAATGATAAGCAAGGCACAAGAAGTGCCTTATTTATGACATTCTCATTATTTTCTCTTCTACATGATCCTTCTGCAGGTAAAAATGTGGTCATGTTATTGCCAATTTTTTATTTTTGGCATGAATGACAACTGTTTTATCTTTATTACTCTATTGCAATTCCCACATTATTTATCAAGCCTGCTATTTGCACCTTTACACTTTTGTTTTCAGTTCTTGGTTTGCATTTAAAATTTTTCCTATTGATATGTCTATTTCACAACTGTTATTTTGAAGATTTTGTGCAATTTCTGATTTAGAACACATTTGCAGATTCAAGAATTCTAAATTATTTTGCTTCTGAGGTTTAATCTTTTTGGTTGGGAAACTGGTTTTGCTATTCATTCATGGTCTTATTTTTGAAGGCTGATATGTACACTTTCTTTTCTTTTTCTTTTTTTTTGTTTCCTAGATTAAATTTTTTATATGGTTAAGCTTTTCATACGTCTGGTATTCTTGTTAAAGCATTTATGATGGAGTGCTGAAAAATCATCCGTTCAGTCAATTTGAGTAGTGAATCAGGATATGAATTTTTCAGTACCCTCATGTAATTACACTCTAATAATAATTTTTATTTCATAACAGCAGTCTTTTCTTAAATTTTAGCTATTCACAGAAATACTTTGCTTCTACTTTGAATTTATCTTTTTTTAGGCATTATTATATAATGATTTTATATTTTATTAGGATTTACTCTAACATCAAAATATGCAGACACAAAATTAACTGTGTGAAAAGTCCTACATTTCTTACTGATTTTTTGCTATTATAGATGGCACATCTTAAAAAAAAATTTTTTTTTTTTTTATTGCATGAAAAATTAAAATTGTTTGTATATTTAAATATTTTTCATAAAGTATTTCTTATTTTTAGTTGCTTTTTGTGGAACTTGAATCTATTTAACATTTTTAAGTAACCTTATTCATATTTTGTCTGTTATGATATAATGGACAGTTAGCTAATAGGGGGAATAATAAAAAGCTACTTAACACAGCTGATAACTAAATTCATTATGAGAAAAAGATTTATTAAAATTATTTTGACATCTTAAGTTTATTACTGTGCAAATAATAAATCCCAATTGTGTGTGTGTGTGCTTGAGTTTTTTTTTTTTTTTTAATGTATTCCTTTTCTTGTTTGTCTGTTTTATATTTATATTGAATTATGGAAATTTTTGTGTATCGTTTATTAAATGATTGGCATTCAGGTCATGCAAGTGATTTTGTGTGTTATTGTTTCCAGAGTAATTAAATTATTATTTTTATTTATTTATTTATTTTTTTTTCTGGTTTGTATAATGTGACATTTTTATTTATTTATTTTTTTTTTTTTCCTCTCTCCACTTACTGATTTTTTCTCTTCTATTTTTCTTGATATTTAACCTTTTCATTGTTGTTTCTTCCTGTTATGGTTACATTTTCTATCTTATTTCCTTTGGATGCTTTGCATGATATTTCACTACTTTTATACCACACAGTTTACTCTTTGATCATTATGAACGCCTGTAAATAATATAAGTATTTATAATGGAAAGAAAAACTTATTGTAACCTCCTAGAACTTAATTTGGAGTTAATAGGTGAGGTTATAATCATTGAAAATACAAATTGCAAATAAAAAAAAAATGAAATTACAAAAGAATAGATGATATTTTAATTATTTGCCAAAAAAAAGTTTTTTTTTTTTTTTTTTTTTCTAATTCATTAAAAAGCATAATAACTGGACATAATAGCCTTAGCATCTTTTAATAGTTCACTTATTTAAGAGGTATTATCTCTCTTTATAATCTGATATTTTCCATTTGATAATGAAAATGTTTCCTCCTAAGAAAATTTATGGGCAGTTCTTCAGTTTTACAGATAACTCGGAAAGTATTCTATAACCTGTAGATTTAATTCTTTATATAAATTCTGAACTTACAAACAAATTTAAGGTATATTGCTGAAGGTTTAAAATGGCTGTATATAACTTGCATTGTAAATTTCTTAACACAACTATTTCTGAAACAATTTTGGCTGCACAGCCAATAATTTAACTTACTGACCACTATTTCTTATATTTAAAGTTCCCTTAATTCAATTAAGACAAGCAGTAATATTACTACTACAGCCCAATTTTTAAAGCTAAAAATATCTTTTAGCATAAATTTATTTTCTTAAAAATTAAAATATATATTTTTTTAATGTATGCATATATTAAGTCTTCAATATACTAATCATATTCTTGCTATAATTATCCAAATAGGTAATAAAACACAAATTTGAATTTTCTTACCAATTTTTCTTCACTTTCTAGAAGAGGTTCTAATATAATGAATTTTCAAGCAATTGTTAAATATTTTGTTTAATAATTGTTTGTTCAAATTCATATAGATTCTTTCTGTTTAAACTGCATATAATGTACAAAAATCCCATGTAATTTACATAGACCTTTTCTCAAGTCAGTTTACATAATTTCATGCATTTTGTACTTTAGCCCACATTAATAATCCTTTTTCTTATTGTATTATTCTGAGTGCACAAACATATTTGTTGCAGTTTTGTAGGCTTGATTAGGGTAAAATTTGAAGAAATCAATTCTACATGATATATATAGATAGATAGATAATAATAATAAATATACACATACATATGCAAAATATATAGATATATATATACATAGGTGCATACACATATATGTATATTTTTTTGAATAAAAAATTCCGAGAGGATAGAATCCTGGTGGAACTCAATGTCCAGGACAGAGTAAGGATATAATAAGGCTTAAACCATGGAATATTAGTGTTTAAGCCTTTTTATATATATATATATATATATATATATATATATATATACACACACACATGCACATATATATACTTTATTCATATGTTTATCTATAATAGGCTGCTTTTAATGTATTAGAAAAATATCACTAAATATACATACATTACTTCAGAATGAATTGTAAGTTTTAGATTTCATTTAAATTGGATTAATGTTCTTTCTGTAACTTTTATGTGTTTTCTAAAATTAAATTTCAAGTGCATTGAAAATAAATTATAAAAGAAATTTAATTTAAATATTTAAACTCCAAATTTTTATTCAAAGAATGGTGATAAATGTTATGGATTTGCTGATGAATTAGTAACATTTTTTATGGAATTGCTGCAGAAATATAAAATTCATGAAAAAAAAGTAAATTAGAGAAAAAAAATGTTATTCTAAATCTTGTAAAGCTAGTTTTTTTTCTTTTAAGTTGAAGTAATTTTGGTTACTTTATTTTCTCAAAAGCCTTCATCTTCAGTTTTTCTTGTATCTTTTAACAAGTTTTCTATACCATTTGTAATTTTGCATTTGATTAATATAAACTAAACCATGTCTGACACAGTTTATGTTCAAATTCGTGCAGTCATTTGCAATTGGTTATTTACACATGAAACTATAATGTTCTAACACAAGATTTATTTGGCTCTCAGGCGGCCTGGTGAATTTAAATAAGCTAGATGTTAGAAACTGTTTTTTATAATTTAGTTGATTCATTCATGAACCAGTTGAGGTAAACTATTTTTCAACTAATAAAAATTATACTTGAGTCTATAAACAAAAGCAGTAAAATGTCTTTTCCTTCTCCACTTACATTTGCTACTTTGTAATCATATTTTTTTGTACCATATACTTTTCACTATTGCAAACTTTGAGGTATTTTGATTCATTTCCCTTTGCACATCTTTGTATTTCTATTTGGTGGTGTTTTGTTCTTAGAAGTTCTTTTCTCTGCTGGTCTCTTTGGATCTGTTAAAAGTTTAAGCTTTGAGCTCTTAATGTAACTAGGTTTTAAAGTTTTTTTGGGTTTTTTTTTTTTTTTAATTTGGGATTCTAGATTCAAAGTTTCCGTATTTAAAGTTATTTGTCTTAAGCATGTTTTTTGCTTTCTCTTCATTATTTTATATAATTTCTAATATAAATTCCTATATACAAATTTAAGTTTTTTTAGGTTTTTTCTTCTGCTTTTAAATATCAATGGTAAATTGAAAAATGATCAATTGAAGGTGTCTATTTTCAACAAAATTTTAATTCAACAGTATTTTATTTTAATATATAACCAACCATAATAATGATAGTCCCTTAAGATTGCTGTGATGTGAGCTTATGCTTGTTGCATGTTGAATGATTATTGTGAATATTCTAATTTGACAAAATATTACTTTTCTCAACACCAAAATAAAAAATCAATTTTATACAACTATTTTGGAATGAATTGTTTTTGTAATGTCAATTTCTAAATATCTAATTTGAAAGAAGCTTTTTTGTTTTATTTTAAAGAACGAATTAAGCCCTGTTTAATTAGAATAGGTTAATACCATTATTATAAATAACATTTCATAGTTGTTTTTCTGGCATAGCTTCTTTTTATGGTTTATTTTAAAATTTATTATTTTGTTTCTACCTATTTAAATATATCTTGAGTACTCACTTTAGTATATTAAATGTAAAATGATGCAGGTGTGCCTGCTTAATCTTGATCATCATCATCTCCCTTTTTAAGCATTATATTAATACCTGATGATAGAATTTGAACTTCAGTTTAAAAAAGAAAAATGACATGCACATGATAATGGATAAATCTGTTGGGTCAAGTTTGTATCACAAATGAGACGATGTAAATACTTACTTAAAAGATCTAATTTCCTATAATATGAACCATTCTTATTTACTCAAGATGAACTGTTTATACTGGATGATATAGCTATTATGATAAAATTACTTTGTTAGATCTTTCCAGCCATAGCAGTAACTATTCAGACCATAGGTAACATTTGCTTGCTTTAAAACTTTATGTATTGTTTTGGGTGTCAAGACAAATACCTGCAATACTAAAAGATTACTTATGTTATAAATTATAAGTTTCAAGCTGCTTGGATTCATATTTTTTATTAAAAAAAAAATCTTATTGCTATAAGTCGTATTTGTAGGATTCTAGAATCATTAAAACTACTTAGCTACAATGTCATTGACGTAAAGGTTTAATAAAGTTTCATTGGTGTGGGCCATCAAATTTTAACAAAAAAAGTAATGGGAATATTATTGGAAAGCTTTCCACAAACAATTGACAAAAATCATGAAGTTGACTGAATCTTTAAACATGTACAATTGCTATATTTGCCAACATGAGATACATTCTTATTTTACAGGGAAAAAGATTCAGCATAAAACATTTTAGGGAAAAAATGCATTTTATGTTGGCAAATATGGCACTTACTTTTTATTTTTCATTTATTTATTTGATAACTTGATTTTTATTTAAATGTATTATCGTATATCAACAAATGTCAAATAAAGTGCTGATTGAGTTGAGTGGGTAACTCAGTGCTTGTATTTAATACTTGAAGATATGGCATGTATAATGCTGACCTTTTTGTGACTTTATTCCCACTGATGGCAAATTTATTTGGCATTTTATATGCTTTGTAGCTATGCATTATTTTTATATACATTGAATAAAAAATCAAGCTGTTGTACGTATACCAATAAAATAAAAATATTATATATTTGATATTAAGCAATTTTATGGCTACGCTTTTTGATTTTATATTTGGCCATGAAATTGCCTAAATTAAAATACATAGTGACATTTTTCTTTTAGATGGGACGAGAAAAAAATGCAATTGTCTATTATACTAAATTGTTTCATTTAAAAATCATTTTATCAAGTTTGTTTAATGTTAAATTTCTTTTTCTTGCACTTCAACTATGATCTAGAAGATAATGCCTAGTTTTGTGATATATATAACTTTTTTTTTTTTTTTTTTTTTTTTTTTTTTAACTTGAATTTAAAAATTTATATCTTGTCTTTATATTTTTCTTTTATGGTAAAGTTGTAATCTTTGCATAATATTGCAGGTGATTCTTTTCTTTAGTATGTAGTTCTTTTCCATATCTGTTTTAGATTGAATATTGTCATAATGTTGCACTGGTGGAATGGAACGTTTTGTTTTTTTCTTTTTATGTATGTCTTGATGTTGTCAACTAGAGGCCGACTTATCAAGATTTCTGAATAAGAATAGGCATAAAGACCAATTATTTCTTAATTCTGAAAATATTTCCCTTTTTCTTTTCTTTTTTTTTGACTACTTTCAAATAACCTCTAAAATTTCATTTATCTTGAAAAATTAAAGGAAAAATAAAATTTCCCATACCCAGATATGTAAAGACTAATCTGAACTAAAGTTCTGAACAACTTATAAATAAACTGCTATAATGTTACTAATGTGAATGAGATTTAGTTTATAAACAGGAAACAAAATTGGTAGGAAAGAGCAAAAAATTATAAATTTAGACATTTACCTAACAGCTTCACTGTTTTGACCTTGAGTAGGAGAAAGTTTTGTATTGGTTTTGAAATGGGATAGCTGAAAATGTTTGAGATATTGCTTTGAATATAGCCATATTACTGAGTTATTTCAATTTTTAAATTACATTCTGGTGTAGGGCTAATGTTTCAAATGCGATAGTTGGTCAGGCATTATGTATGTGCAGGATTATAAGGAAATGCTAGAGAGTTGATAGTTTGAACTGTCTTATACTTCACAAGATGATAATATCCGGGGAAGGAAAAAAAAGAAGGAAGGAACATATGGGTTGATACTTTATCTGGCATGTCACTCAAACTACTTGGTTGTTAAAATCTGTATGCACAACGTTGGAAGGATGAGAACTAGTACATGCTATTGTTATTCATTAAATATTTACACACATACATATACACGCACACACAAACACTGTCCATATATGCGCATATATTTATATTGTTACATATGTATGTGCAAAAAAGACTAAGACTGTCATTGATTAATGTTGCTATGAAGGTTGCTTTTGAAATGTATTGCTGTAAGATTCATACAGCCAATACAATAAACCTTTCATACCTGACCATTGCCTGTGTCTGACTCATGCCAGTGTCCATTGTTGACACATGCTACAAAGGTATTAGTCAGTCACAAATTATTTTAATTATCAAACTTGTTCTTGATTTGTTTTTTATTTTTTCGGTTTTTTAAATTTGTTTTTTTTTTATTATTATTATTCACATTTGGACTCAATTTTAACCTTTTTACTTAAAAATAATTACTTGAATTTAAAATTTTTGAAAACTTAGTTTTTTTTTTTTTTTTTTTTTTTTTTTTTTTTTTATTTAATTTTATTTTTTAAATCAAAGTAAATCATATAGACTTTTCTTTTTCTGAAATTTGGAAAGAAAATATATAACTGGGACCTTTTTTAATAATAATAAAAAAAAAAAAAAGAAAAACAAATCAAAGTTTAAAAAATAAACATCATTCTCATTCATGGATTAGTTAAATTCTAAAGTAATTGTGTCTTTATTCCTCTCCTAATTCAGAAATCCCGCGGTCGGATATGGAAAACTTGAGCCTCTGTGAGTACGAAGCAGAGAATAATAATATATACATCGCTGAGTGATGATTGATCATCAGAGTGTCTGCACTACTCACTTCTGCTGACTGTGACTCTCTTCCAGGTGGTGAGGAGGAGAGCAAGAAGGACAAGAGAGATGTGGAAGATGGAGAAGGAGGAGAAGGTGGCGGTGGCAAGGAGCCTACACCCCAATCAACTGACGCTTAGAAATTTTTACTTCAACTACTATTCTACTACTACTACTACTACGATTCTACTGTTCTTTTCACTAAATCATTTGCAAGAAAGACTAGCTACATGTTTGTGCTTTTATTGTATCATCTGGATTTTTATGTATTTCCTCCTGCCCTTCTTGTTTGTCTGCTAAAAATGATTATCTCCCTTGATTACCCCATCTCCTGCCTTCCATTTCACTAATTTTGAATACAAAAAGACCAAAGCAATTCATCATTTCCATCTGTATTATTCCTATGACTCAGTTTTTGTAAAAAAAAAAAAAAAAAAAATTTTTTTGTAAAAACTCAAGTCTATGAAAAATAGCTTCACAACAACAAAATGAAACAACCACCTTAACGTAGCCTGCTTTTACTAAGGTTAGTTTATCAATCAATGTTGCCTGGAAAAGGTTTTAGAATAATAAAGAAGGCAAAAATTTTAAATTTTACCATCATACTCCCAAAAAAAAAAAAAAAAGTTGCTAGGTGCAATTGTCAGTTGTTTCTCTTCAGTTTACTCCCATCTCTTTTTTTTTTTTTTTTTTTTTTTTTTTTTTTTTTTAACTTAAAAAAAAAAATTGCTTTATTAACTTAAAACAGTATTAAGATAGTTTTATTTTAATATTTCCTGCCCATATTTTTTCCTGAATTTAAGGTTTGTGGGTAGTTGATTGCATTTATTTTATTAAAATTTATGACTTAACTATTTCATTTTTTTCAAAATGTTTAGTGTATTTTTTTTTTATTTTTTTTATTTTATTTTATTTTTTTGTTAGTGATTTGCATGAATGCAAACACATTTACAAAGACTAACACTGGCATTAACCTTCATTTACCCTCACCTCCCATCTCTTTAAAAAAAAAAAATAAATAAATAAATAAAAAACAATAATAATGATAATAATAAACTATGTAAAGCTTGTTGAAACAAAAAAGCTTACCACCAGGTATGGTTGTTGTTTTTGTTTATTAAAAGAAAAACAAAAATCATCATGTATGAATATGGATAATCATGATGGAATGTGAAAATTAGTTTTAAGTGGACCATCACTGAACCATAATTGGCAAGATTGACATTGAATAAATAAAATAATGACACCAGACTGGAAAAATGTTTCAGCCATGAATTTCTTGTTCTTAATGGATTTTTATTTTATTGCCTTATATTTTGATTACTTTTTATTATAGAAATTTAACTATAATTCTGAGTAATGTTGCTTTTTGTTGGTGGGGGGGCAAGAAAAGCCACCAAATTTTTATTCTGTATTTTCACTCACTCACTCACTAGAAAAGCAATTTTTTCAAATTTTGGATAATGTTTTAAAAACCTTGTTTTGATGTTATGATTGCTACAGCTTTCTTTTGTTTTTTTTTGTTTTTTTTATCTTTCCTCCTATCCAGCATAGTTGTCAGTTTAAAGATTTTCACATTTTAACTGGATTTATGTATTTCATTTTGAGGCTGGCTAACTGAGCATAATTATAAATATTCCCTCTTCTCATTTAGTTATATTTTGAATGATGTTTTTTTCCCCTCCTTTTGCTTACTTTATTTTACAGATTTTTTTGGTTAAATGCATAGTTAAATCATTGACTAGCTCAATAATGGGAAAAATCTTTTTTTATTTTATTTTAATCTTTCGTCATTACACTTATTTCAGTGATGCATATTATTCAGATCAGATATTGCACGGTAAATATTAAGGATCAGAATTCAACTAATAATTACAAGTTGACTGTGGATTGTTAGTGCACTTGGTGTGTGAGCTGTAATGAATGTTAAATTCTGTGTTCTAGTTCATTAAAATGAAGCAGGCTCAGGAATATTTTCAAATCATTAATTATACACATATTTAGCAGGTAGGTTTTTATGGTGACCACAGTAGTTTTGCAAATGCTACATTTAATAAAGTTCAAGTACAAAGGATAAATTTATAATTCTTTACTAAAGCCAAATAACTATTGACAAGTCTGAAAATAAGTGATAAGGTGAGGGTGTGAAAAAGTTCTTGGACAAACCTGTTTAATATAATCTAACCAAATATTGTTTTTTTTTTTGGGGGGGCTCCTAGTTGGACTGAGTTTTCAGCTTTAACCGATAGCTATGATGCATTCAAAATTATTACTGCATATATAAGCCAGCTTCCTTTTTTTTTTTTTTTTTTTTTTTTTTTGTTGCTTTAATCTTCTCCAGGAAAAAAAAAATTACCTTTGTATAGTACAATTGGTCACTAAAAAAAATACATTACTTTTGCACTTCCCACCCATTTTTTTTTTTTTTTTTTTTTTTGCGTGTGTCCAAAACTGATCATAAAAACTCATACTTGAATACATGAAATGAATTCAGTTTTTTGATAGACGGCAAAAAACATTTTCTTTATTCAATTTGTATGTGTTTTAATCCTTGTCAAACTATGTTTTCATTACAAAAACAAATATGCCACGTCTCCTACCTATTCTATTTACTTGCTACTGTGGAGGGATAAATATAAATTTTACTTGTTTTGAACTTCAAGTATTCTATCACTTGAGATTAACTGCTGTATCAACTTAAAGAAGCTTTTATTTGTAAAGTGTTCTATTAACTAAACTGTACCAACTATTATGGGATTTTTTTTCCCTAGTATGTAATTGCTTTAAGTATGCTTTAACAGTGTACACACATTTTAATCCAGTCGGGTGTAAGCTATTTCTAATGAGGTTTATACTGAGTAGCTGCACTATTACTGTCTCGGTGTCAGAATAAAACTTAGAAAATGAACAGATGATTATTTTTTTCTTTCCTTTTTTTCCTTTCTCTTTTTTTTTTCCTTTCTCTTTTTTTTTTTTCCTTTCTGTATTATCATAATTTCAAACTTTCTGAAAATGCTTTTGTTTTTAAAACTATTATCAAAAGATTATATTAAACAAAATGACGTGCTTAAATGCTTATGGTATTTAAACAGAAAACTTAGTAAAATGCAACACAAATGAATACAGCTTTAAGATCCAAGTTATAAGTCAGGACACTTTTCATTAATCTTGTTCCTTTATTTAATGAATTCAGTTTATAATGCTTTAATAAGTAATTTGCATTATGACAACAGATTTTGAAAATTTATAATTTAAGCAAAAGAAAATTACCTGACAATGTTTTTACGTAAGAATTTGGTGGCTTATTTTTCTTTAATGAGTATTTTTTCATTTCAGACTGAAGCAGTTGCACCTGCTAAATTCTGCATTGTGGTCAAGTCAAACCACTGAATAGATATGAATTCAAAATAGTGTATGTTAAGGATATCATTGGGTTCAACAGTTGAATGAAACATTATTTCAACAATACTGGACTAATAGCATTTTTCAAAGCTCTATGCAATATCTCTAAGATTCTCCTTAGTAATTTGTGTAATTTAATTGTGAGATCCAATTGCCTAAGAGCTGTAAGAAGATTTTGTTCCAACAAAATTTGGACCATTTTATTTTACATCATCATCATCATTGTTACATTTGTTTTTTATTATGTGTATGACTTAAAAACTTAACAATAGTATTCTCAAACTGATACTGGAAAAAAAAAAAAAAGCAGGCTTTTTCTTTTTTTTCACTCTCAAATTTAATATACTTATTGAGTACTTAGTTTCCCTATACTATTTTTCTTGGATCATGGTATCTTTCATGTATCAGTTTAAAGTGATGATACTTTTTTTTTTTTTTTTTTTTTTTTTTTCCAAATATCTAAGCAGTAATTTTGATATGTGAAAATTTCGCTGAAATATGTTAAAATTTTCATCTGAAATTGAATAAATGTAAGTTTCAGCAAAATGGTCACAATGTTCGAGAAAGAAGGAAACTGATGCCAGGAGGCTTTTATTTATTTACGGTAAAAGCTGATTCTTTGTGCTGTAATTGTCTTGATCTCTAGAAAACAAGTCTATGCTAGTACTAGGATTATATTGGTACAAAAATTATAAATTCTTAAAACTTGGGATATGATATAATGTTGGTTATGAGGAATCGGATATGTGTAATTTCTCATTTCAAAAGAAATTAGAAACTGATTATTTCTTTGATGGTATTTATATACAATGTAAACAAATTCAAAATAAGCATGATATAATCCATATTATTTATACACCTCCACACTTCCCCAAATTAGAAAATGTTTAATACTGAAGTTAAGGATAATAAAATTCAGTTTGATGATTGAGGGTAACATAAGCTTCTGATTAGAATATCAACAGGGAGGAAGGTTGTCATTTGCAGAAATACCAAAAATAGAACTACTTTAAATATATCCAACAAAATACTTTGTACTGTAAACAGTTTTAATGTTCGTTTATTACTATTTGTGTACTTCTTAATTAAAAAAATATATATTCTGTTAAGCAATTTTCAGAGATAAAGATCTTTTCATGGATCACCTTTTTTTTTTTCTTAAATAACTAAGAGTTGTCTGCCACTAATCACACTCTCTCCAATGAACAGAAACCTGCTGCTTTTTCATTCTTACATGAAATTAACTCTACCATAATGAATCAATTATAACATTACAATATAAATATTGGTTTACTTGATTTTTTTTTTTTTTTTTTTTTTTTAAATTGTATGGCACGGCTAAATGCTTGAAATGTATAATTTTTAAAAAAGAATTCTGTTTTATTGGCAGTGGTATATGGATGTGTTATTCTCCTCAGATGTGAAATTAACACTGGAAGAAATTTATCCCAAATTCTATTGTTTTGTCTAGTAAAATTCATATAGTATTAATGTCTGTTTCTTATTTGATATTTTGGTTAACCAAAATATGTGGAGGACCTAAAATGATAAATCAATGCAGTAACTTATCAGATTGATTATTGGAGGAAAGGATTCAATAATCCTGATGAGAAATTGATTCTCTTGCTAATGAATAGAAAATATTTTTGTCTTTGAGATAACTATTATGTTTCTTAATTAATTTGAAAATAAAGTTTTGTTGTGCTCTTGCTTTTTACCTTTCTAGCAGTCAACCTTT